CCCATCCCCTCCCCGCACAGGGGGATGCAGACCTGGGTTCAGGGGCTCCCCAGCACCCATCGCTCCCCCCAGACCCCAAGGATGACCCATCTCCCACCGGCTCAGCCCCCACCTCCATCATTTTCCATCCCAGGATTTGCTTTAGGGCCTCCCAGCAATCTGCGCTTCCCTTTGAAGTTTCTACCCAGCCCTGATGCTGATTTATCCCTGGATGGGAGCAAGGCTTGGCTCTCCGGAGCATCTCCCTGGGCGTGCCAGCCAGCCCCGGAGCACGTCCCCATCCCCATCCCCGTCGCCGTCCCCTCCGTGCCCTTCCCAGCCCCTCTCCTCCGCTCCGTTATATAATACCACTATAGCTTTAGCCACTCTGCCATGAGACCCTGCAGATTAAATCTCCCGGCCGGGGGGAGGGAAGGACTCGGTAAGAGCTCCGAGGGCAGATTAATAGCTTGCTTTTTTAATATTTATAACAATACTGGTTTGTGTCCGGCTCTTGGAAACCCCCGTGTCCTGTTGATTAGTTTAATACTGATGATACCAACAAATGCATTAACCACTGGTGGCCGCGGAGGATAAGAGGGCTGGGGAGGGAGGGCCCCCGACGATGACATTTTTAATGTTATTAAGTGCTCGCTTTTATCAAGGTCAGAAGACAAGATGGGTCGGAAAGCGCAAACCTCCGAACGTTCGGCTTGAGGGAGGTGGGCTGGGTGCTGGGAAGATCCAACCCAGCCCCGGGTTTTAGGGAATGAGCTGTTTTTCCCCAGCCCATGCAAACCCATCGCATTGGGTGTGGGACCCTCCAAAACAGCATCCGTGTCGCATCCCTATGCTGAGCCCTTTCCGCAGCCCCCGGGGCTGGTTTTTGCCCCGGATGGGCACGCAGGCAGCCCCAGGGTGCCAACCACGGAGCGCAGGCAGGTTGCAAATGCCCCCAGGGCTCCTCCAAGAGATCATTTGGCGGCTGGATAAAATTAGATGGATGGAGACAGATTAGCTGAACAGCTGAAGGGAAGAGACGGGCAGATGGATGGGGACAGTCGATCGAGGAACGAGGATGGGAGCGCAGGGCTGGGGTCCCTCCCGGGGCTGGCACAGCCCACCAGTGCCACAGCAGGTCTGGGGTGCCCAGTTTTTGGGGGGAAGGATGGGGATGCTCAGCATTTGGCAGAGCCCAGGCTGACTCGCCGCAGGGAAACCGAATCAGAGCAGAGGGTGCCAGGAGTCTCCCAGCTACAACCTCTCCACAGAGCTGGGGGTACCCCAAATCACAGACACCCAGAGACCCCAAATCCTGGGGGACTGCCCTGGCTTAACAGAACCCACTGCTCCCACCCCCATCCCTGATGCTCCATCATCCCCTTGCCGCCGTCCGTGCTATGGGGCACGGGTCTGAGCCAGGCACCAAGCTCCTGGCACGCAGGGCTGTGCCCAGGGTGAGGGGGGGCAGGAACTTTTGGGGTGATTCCTCTGGTTTTGGAAGGTCCCACACCCAATTAACTTTTGGTCAGCCCTGAACTGGTCAGGCAGTTGGACTAGATGATGGTTGTAGGTCCCTTCCAACAGAAATAGTCTAGTCTATTTAATTTAAGAAGGGATCAGCATGGGGGCTCACAGCAGCATCGGCCAGGGCTGCTCAGGCTCAGCACCTCCCAGATTTGCAGGATCAAACCAGGCAGCAGCTGCCTCCCCAACCCAACCCCAGCCACCTCCCAGCTGCTCCTTATATCCCTCCAACTGGATGTAACTGGGCACAGTTTTCAGCTGTTCAGCATCAGCCATGGGATTAACCCTTTCCGTGCCACACAAGGCCTGCCAGGATCTGGCCCCCATGAGAACAGCTCGGAGGCCATCCCCTCCCACCGCCGCGGAGGAGCTTAAGAAGGAAGAGGGAAGCAGTGGAAGGGATGCAGGAGGGCAGAGCACATAAGCCAGGATCAGGCCATCTGGATCAGGATTCCTGGTCCGGGAGGGAAGCATGGAGCTGATGGCTGCCCATGCCAATGGACCCTGCTGGCTGCAGGTCCCTGGGAAGTTGGTGATGCTTCAAAATCACTTGCAGGGAAAAAAACCCTTCATTTTATAACACATCGAAGGAGAAAGCATCCGGTGGTGCCTGGCATCAAACGCACACACGTGCACACCCCCTGCACACCCCAGTACCAGCACCGGCACCAGCAGAGCTGCGGCATCCCAGGGATGGCACCGCATCATCCCGCCGGGCATGTGCCCCCTCAGCATCACGCAGGACACCTCACTCAGCATCACCTAAAGGACACTGCTTGCCTTTTAGATCCCTAAAAATCCTGACAAAGGGAGGGAAAAGGGCTCATTTCTTTCCGTCCCTGCTGGCTCCGCACACAGGTAGCCCGCAGCGTGCCCGTGTGTCCCTTCAGAACAGCTTTATCTGCTGAAAATCCCCCCCACCTCCTCCCCAGCTCACGCATTTAAGTGGATTTCCTCTCCCTGTGGTGAACAACAATGAAATAAAGAAAGAAAGAAATAATCCCAGCTGCCGGGCCCTTTAAATGGATTTCAACATATCCATTTCTTTCCCGTTCTTGTGCATGTGTGTGTGTGTTTGTGTATGTGCACATCCCTGACGTCACGGCAGATTTTGAAGTTGCCCGATGCCGGCCATCTGCTCCTGATTACGGGAGGCCCTGAGCTCCTTAAAATTATACGCAGAAAGGCCGACATCCCCCTCCCGGCCGGAGCTTGGCCATGGCGAGAGCGGGAGAGCACTGGATCGGGCCGGCAGCACATCCCTGCCGAATCCGCTAATCCCTGGTAATCAGAGCATGGGGAAAAGGCGATATCAGGGATCCGCATCCTGCAAAAACTGCCGTGGAAGGAGGTTGCTTTGCTCTGTACCGGCCGGGCAGTGGTACCTGGTTGCTCCATCATTTCGAGGAGGTTTGGGGTAGGAGCCCAGGGGGGCTTTGGGGGGGTTTGCCAAAAGGGCAGCAGCTGCAGCTCGGGGGGTCCCACTCCCACCGGTCCCAAAGCAACAGGAGACAGCTCAAGGAAGGGCCCCACAGTGCTTATACCTTTGGGTAGGGTTTTTGAAGGATTTGGGGGGAATAAAGCTGGCAAGGGAGGTGGGAATCCCCCCACTATGGGAAAGGCCCGCAGGTATTTTTGGGTGCCCCTAATTGCAAACTGGTGCCTGGCTGCCAGCACAAGCAGAGCCACAGCATCAAGCTGGCATCCAACAGGCAAATCCATGGGGCCTCACGCCCTGCGGTGGGGGTCCTCCCCACAGCCCCCTCGCTCCCAGGGCACTAAGCCAGTCCTTGTGCCCCCTCCGTGCCTCAGTTTCCCCATGGCAGGAGTGAGTTTTGGGTGCCCCTAATTGCAAACTGGTGCCTGGCTGCCAGCACAAGCAGAGCCACAGCATCAAGCTGGCATCCAACAGGCAAATCCATGGGGCCTCACGCCCTGCGGTGGGGGTCCTCCCCACAGCCCCCTCGCTCCCAGGGCACTAAGCCAGTCCTTGTGCCCCCTCCGTGCCTCAGTTTCCCCATGGCAGGAGTGAGACGAAGCTGTGCCTGATCACTGCGTGCCAGTGCCTTTAGGGGATGTCCTTGGGGACCATCGCACCAACCCCACCATATCCTGCTGCCCGGGGTTGGGACGGGGCACGTGGTCGGGCTCACCCCCATTGCCCACGTCCACGACACGGGACGGCTGAAGTCAGTCCCCAAAACCTGCCTGGCGCTTGCAGGGCAATTAGCTACAGTGTGATTACAAGCAGCATGCTTAATGAGGTTAAACCACTACCTGGGACTTTTTGAGTTCTTAATTACCACTCTTTAATTGCTACTCTCAAGTACATTAATATAAATGACTGTCTGGGACAAAAAAAAAGGCAAGATGCAATTTGGGTGAGCTGGGATGCTGCGGAGATATGGCCCTTTCCCAGATCGGCTTCCAAATCCTCCACCCCCCATCAGCAGGGATTACACCCATCAAACTGCTTAAAAAAATACTTTTCTGCCAAAAGTGTTTTGTGCTGGGAGGGGGGGTGGATGGGCAAAGCCCCCCCTCGCAGCCCTCCCCTGAGCCTGTCTCTGCTCGGCAGCCTCGTGTTTCCGCTGCCTGGTGGACGTGGTGCCGGTGAAGAACGAGGAGGGCGTCGTCATCATGTTCATCCTCAACTTCGAGGACCTGGCACAGCTCATCGCCAAAAGCGCCAGCCGGAGCCTGCACCAGCGCCTGTCGCAGAGCTGGCGCGGAGGTGGGTGTCA